GGAAAATATTCGTGTCTGGGAGGATGCGTGGTTGTCATTAGAGACACCTATGAGACCTATTGGCGCACCCCCGTTGCTCTCACTTGGTCTTAAAGTGGCTGATCTCATAGACAAGACAACAAATTACTGTAATTGGAACCTAGTCGACCTTCACATCCCAGCCATAGAGAACAACTCAAACGTATCCCTATTGGGACGTTTAGGCATAGTGACAAAAGAGTTTGGCTTTCGGTAAAGAATGGGAGATATATCTCACGCTCGGGTTACGTTCTTCTGACTCTTAAGGACCTTCCACCACAGCAAACGCAATTCCGATGGCAGAGCAATATTTGGAGATTATCGACGGTTCCAAAAATAAAACGCTTCTTATTGAAGGCGCCGGAGCGTTACCGGTAGCTGATACTCCGGTCCACAGAGGAATCTTATCGGAGCTCCCTTGTAAGCGATGTGGAGCACCGGAGTCCACACTACATATATTCCATGATGTCCTTTTGCCATCCAAGTCCTCTACCCCGTGATGTCGGGTGTCACGCAAGCAACGGACCAGAATATATTTGATTTCCGTCACGCTCTCAAAGCAACTAAAGCTTTGCCGCGCTCGGGCATCAGTACAGCCTCAATCCATGCCTGGATTTGTTGGGGCCTTCGGACAGCATGTAACCAAGGTGTTTTCTCTGATAAATTCTTCACTAGCATGGAGGTGGTATCTAAAGCTGTAATTGATGCGCGGGCTTGGCAGAAGGCAAATGAACTAACAGCGGTCCGAAGACTGACAAATACTCCACGAAAACTGCCTCTAATCTCCGTTCACAATCATACCATGTGTGTAGATGGGGCTTGGCATCAAGCTTCCTCTAACTATGGAATGGGATGGACGATTTCGACCAGAGATAATGCATTTGATTCCCAGTTCTCCTGTACAAATCGGCAGTGGTCTCTGCCCTGGCGGCAGAAGCTTGGGCCCTACGAACAGCCCTCCTCTCTGCCGTGGAACAAGGGATTTGGGAGATCAAAGTATGCTCTGACTCTTTTAACTTGATAAAGCTCATTAAAGACAACAAGCCCCATAATCAAGTCCATGCTATTTTAGATAATATTAGAGAATTATCATCTTCATTTCACTCAATTATGTTTGAGTTTATTCCACGCACGGACAATGTTATTGCCGATTCTCTGGCCAAAAATGCTTTAGCGGTTCTTGAAACCATTTTAAACGCTAATTGTTATTGAATGAAATTTTCTGTTGCGACTAAAAAAAAAAACTTAAAATGGAGAAAAGAAGAGAGAGAAGAAAGCTACCTCTTTTGGAAATTTATGAGAAATCTAT